TTTTTAAAAATGCAAATATAGAACTTATATTTAACTTTTCTGATTTATATTTTTATTTTTTCTCTGACTCTGGACATCGTAGTTGATAACGTTCACAATTTTATTCACTTAGTTCTACAATATATTCCTAATAGGTTTGAAATAACAACACTGATAATATTACTGAAAATAAGAAAATCTAATGATCTTAAAGATTTCTGTGGTTTTTCTTTTATCTTTAAGGTATATCACACAGAGAAATTCTATGTACTAAGGTAGTGAAAATTCTATGTACTAAGGTTACATGGAATAATTTCTTTGTTTTATGTAATTATTCTACCAACTTGATGTAGAGTTAGATTCATTTGTTTTCAGTTTTTGGGTGTGATTCTTTATTTTTTTATATTTAATTTTGTTTGTATTTATGTCCTATCAATGGTCAATTTTGGTAAATGCCCTATGTGCTTGTAATGAATGTATTTTGTGGCACTGGGTGCAGTATTCTGTTTAAGTTCTATGTCAATTTTATTTATTGTGTTATTCTAATTTTCTATTTCCAATTGATTGTTTTGGCTGGTTGTATTAGTCACTGAAAGAGATGTGTTAATATTTCTATCGTAATTGCAGATTTGCATATTGCTACCAGCAGTCCTTAGTATTTTACCTGAACTTTAGCAAATCTATCAAGTTTGCTTGATGTATTTTGAGGCTATGTAAATTTGGACTTGTTTTGTCTTTATGGACGTGACATTTTATCACTAGGGCGTCATCCTGTTTGTATGCAGTATTGCTTTTTGTCTTAAGATCACTTTTGTCTGTCGTTGATATTGCCGTGCCAGACCTCTCTGATTAATATTTGAATGGTGTATCATTTTCTATATCTTCATTTGGTTTTTAATCTTGCTGTAATTCTACATTTTTCTTTAGATATCTCTCTTATCAGAGATCAGAAATTAGTTGAATATTTTTATTTTAGTCTGACACAAACTTTTATTTGGAGCTCTCAGTCACTCATATTTCATGTAATTCTTGTTAGACTGAAGTCAAACCTGCCATCTGATTATGTGCTTTTAAATGTTTCTTTTCTTTTTCTTTACAATCTTGGCTTCTTTTTATGGATTCCACTATTTTAAAAAATCAATTTCTGTTTTTTCCTATATCATTCTGGAGTTACAGAGTCTGTTTTTTATCTTTTAAAAGTCATCCTTGAAATTTTAATGTAAGTACGGAATCCCCTGCAGTCTCAAGTTCTGCCCTCCGCCTGGATGGTACCAGTGTCTCAGAGCAAGCACTCTGACTCTTGTATTTGATTTCTATCTTTTTAAAATTCTAAAAATGTTATATATTTGTTTTATATGATCAATATTCATTTAGTTTTAGCCCAATATTTATCTTTTTGCTATTTATTATTTTTTATATCCTGGAGATTCTGCCCAGGATATAAAATTTTCTTCTGCTTGAAGTCTATCCTTTAGTGATGTCTGTTTATGGCAGACTGTTTTTGGCTTCAGTCTCTCACTGGCTCTGAATTCTTATGTGGCTGTTTTCGTTCAGCCCACAGTCTGCTGACCTCCCTGCTGTTATGGAGAGGTCGTCTGTCACGCATTTTTTTTTTCTCCTTTATTGCTAAGATTTTTTGTTTTCTTTTTTATTTTCTTCAGGTGATCTGTGTCTCTTTCTGAATATCTTTTTACTTATTATTCCAGTTTGTTGGGCTTCCAGAATGTATGTGTTCCCAGCTGGTAGTTCTTCAAACATTGCTTCCGCGCGGTTGTCTCACTCCTCTCATTCTGGAATTCCAGCTAAATTCATTAAACCTTCTCAAATGTGGTGTATATCTCTTTAGTTTGTACATTTTTTTGTCTACTTATGCTGCTATTTGGATACTTTCTTCTGATTTATTTTCATGTACACGAATTCTCTTTTCAGCTGTATCTATGGTGATATTATATTTGATTTAACTTTGTAAAAATCCTCAGTGAGAGGGTTGGTCCAAATAACATAGATCATGATTGTTGGAAATTGTAAGTCTTTGATTATATCTTTAAATATGTTTAAATTTTTTTTATTTGGTTTATTCTCTTTCTTTTCTTTCTTTTTTTTTTTTTTTTTGACACGGAGTCTCGCTCTGTCGCCCAGGCTGGAGTGCAGTGGTGCAATCTCGGCCCACTGCAAGCTCTGCCTCCCAGGTTCACGCCATTCTTCTCCCTCATCCTCCTGAGTAGCTGGGACTACAGGCGCCCGCCGCCACACCCGGCTAATTTTTTTGTATTTTTAGTAGAGACGGAGTTTCACCATGTTAGCCAGGATGGTCTCGAACTCCTGACCTCGTGAGCCACCCGCCTTGGCCTCCCAAAGTGCTGGGATTACAGGCGTGAGCCACCGCATCTGGCCTTTGGTTTATTCTCTTTAGGGATACAAGTTATGTGTAATGCAAAATTCTTCTGTCTTCCTTTCGCATCTCCTGCATCCATTTCTTTCTCATTCTTTCTACTCTCTGTTCGTTTTAACTGTGCTCACTTTTCACTCCTTTTCTTTTCATGTCTCTCACAATGTTTATTTTTCTTTTAGCTGCTTCCAGTTTGGACTTAATATTTTCTATTTTATCTGTCTTAAAAAAATCTTTGCCAGGTCATATTTTAGCTCCTTATATTTTCTTATCATGTCTTCCTTGAGTACTTTTAGTTCTCTTTTTATGCTCTCCATTTATAGAGGTGATTGTTTCATTGGGGTTTTTAACTTTATAACAATATTTTTGGGTCACAATTTTGACCTATGCTATAGAAAGTTTTTGGTGTTCCTCCTCTAATTTCTTTCCCCGTTAAAAAAGAAAAAAACTCTTTTTCGTTAGAATTTTAAAAGTAGATTCTATTCTTGTTTCTTTTTTATTATTGTCTTTGATGGAGATGAATTCTTATTGGCTGAAGGACTCATGTGACTGTGCTAACAGTATATCTTAGTGGCATCCTGCTGTGGGCAGGGATGAATTCTTATCTTTACCCATCTTCCTTTTTGCTTTCTCCGTCCTCCCAGGGAGCCAGTATAGATTGCAGGAGTGCTCTCAGATACCTCACAAGCAGCAACTTCTTCCTCCTTATAGTTCTTATCTGTGATTCTCCAATAATTTTGTCCTTCTAAGCTTCTGACGCATTGAATTATGTAAAGTGTATTCCCTTCACCAGCTTGCGCACCCTGTTCTGTAAATGATAGTAAATGGCTGGTATTGCACTATAGAGTATGCTTCTTACTTGGGAGAAATTTGTGCTGTGAGTCTTCCCTAAAATCTTCGACAAAGAGCACTTCTCGCTCTGTTTTTTGAACCCCTGACAGACCTTCAATGCTTTGCACTTCTTCCTCCTGATTTATATTTTGAAGTTTCGGGTGTCTCTTAGCTCCATAGAGGATGTTGTTTGTGTTTCCATTTCTCAGTCCTTGTTTTGATTTGGAAGATTTCTGAGAGGAGAATATCAAACCCACAGTACAATTTTAACACCAGAAGTCAGTCTTTCCTCTTGAGTACAAATGGAAAATTAAGGATCTGTATTTACTTAATAATATTTCACAAAGAGAAAATAATTAAACTACAAATAAAGAAGAAAATGGAAATCAGGGAACATGGAGTTAATTCAGGCAACAGAATAGAGTAGTAAAAAGGCTTATTAATATGCAAAGAGATGTGAATAAGATTATACACGAACAAGAGTGGGCTGTTAAGAGGGACAATCAGGGAACCAAAAACAACTGTTTGAAATTAAAAAATCTAATATTTGAAATTAAAAATTAAATATAGAAGTTGGAAGCTAAAGATGATAAAATTTCCTAATATTACTATTAGTATAAGCCAACAAAACATAAAAGAGACAAGATAAATGTCTTACAGGATTATTGTAGGAGACCCAACGTCTTATTAATACTGGTTGCAAAAAGAGTCGACAAAGAGCATGGAGGAAAGGAAATTGCAAGTAACGTAAGAATTTCCTTTACCTGAAGTATCTGTACATCTAGATAAAAAGCATATCTCAAATGGTAAGCACAGTAAGTGATGAAAAAGACCTAAATTGTGAAATTAGCATCTTACAGAGAGAAAAACCACATGCTTACATACCAAGCAAATAATTAGAATGGCATAGGATTGTAAAATACTGGATAATAGGAAGCAATGGCATATGCCTTTAAAATTTGAGGCTAAATGAATTTTAACTTAGAATTTTATACCCAGTCTAAATATTAATTGTGTTGATAGCCAGACATGTAAGGACTCAGAATATTTATTTTCCACTCATCCTTTCTATGGAAGTGTTTGAAGGATGAAATGAGAAATGAAACCAAGGCAGAAGAGAACATAGGATCTGGAAAACATCATAATCCAAATTCAGGGAGCAGCTAACAAAAGTCCTAGGCTGACAACTCTTTGGGCTTAGAGCAGCAATATGCTAGAGGACTCCAGGAGTGCAGTGGAGAATGCATGCTGAGTGGCTGACATATCACCCAGGAGAAGCTCAGCTACGATCTTCCAGTTTAATATCCACGGCACAGCAACAGCCAGGCCTACTGTGGAGGAGGTGTCACCTTTTAAAAACAGAACCTACATTCTTCAGCAGCACTGAAAATGCTAGGCTGGAAGTGGAGTGCAGGTGTCAGGCTGAAAGCCTGTGGAATCTGAGTTTCTACATAAGGAATTGCGGTGAGGTCCTTGTGTATCCAAAACTCATTCTTGCAACACCTGCCTTGGGTGAGCCAGGGTTGAAATGGCTGACGGTGCTTTGCAGGTATAGTGGGGAAGACATGAAGCTGAAGACCGTGGACATTTAGGAGTAGAGGAACCAGAGCTGTGAATGACGGCCAAGGGGTAATGGGCAGGGGGTGGGGGGAGAAATAATGGATCAAAAAGGGAAAAGCTCTGAATTGGGGAAAAGGAGAAAAGCATGAGTTCCTTAAGTTCTTATCTGTTGTATTGAGGTTTTCTGATTTTTCTTTTTTGTTTTTTGCCAGACTTAGTATTTGTTTTGGTTTGTTTTTAGAGAGATAAGCCCCTTCTGGTTATGGAATACTGGGTTGGCTGGTTCGACAGATGGGGAGATAAGCACCATGTTAAAGATGCAAAGGGTGAGTGTTTTGCAGTGTTTGACTCCAGGAAGAGATGGCCCCGGGTCCCGTGAGAACTCATTCACACAGTTCTCTGCTAATTGATTCATTTGATCAGCCATAGATATTCATGCAACTTTTTATATACAAGCACTCAGCCAGGCCCTGAGGATGCTCTGGTGGATAGAAATTACATGGTTCCCACCCCCCCAACAGAGTATAAGTTAGTGAGGTTCACAGATCATTACAGAGTAAAACAATCAATATATAGTTCCATGTGTGGCTGATACTTTGAAGCAAACAATCAGGGTGCAGTGATAGAAAAGACAGAAGAGAGACCTGCCCAGGTAAGGTTAGGTGGTCACCGAAGGTTCTCTGAAAATGTGACGTCTGAGGAAGGTGGAACATTAATCATCTCTAGCAGTGCACAGGCCCTGTCGATGGCATTGTCAGCTAAGCATTAATAGTTAGGGGACAACATGCAGCGATGGCCAAGAGCATGGATCTTGGAGCCAAAGAGATCAGGTTTTAATCCCAGCTCTGGAGTGCTAGCCATGGGACCTCATGCAGGCTTCCTTCATTTTAAGTCTCAGTGACCTCATCCAAACGTGAAGATTATCATAAAACCAACCTCATGAGGCTAGTGTGAGGATTAAGTGCTGCCACTTAGAGCAATGCCTGGCAGTCATTTACTTAATAACCATATGTGTCTACAGAAGATATTTTGAAAGACCTATTATGAAAACAAGCCCACTTGTATCTGAAGTATAGAAAAATATTGAAAAATACTTGGGGACTGAGAAAAGCCTGTTTTGGGTTGAAAAATAGAAAAAGTCAAGAGAAAATGCCATTATCACCACCAGTACCACCAACAATAATACCATCACTACCACCAACAATAATGCCAGCGACAATACCACCACCACCACCACCACCACCACCACCACCAAATAACAGTTTTCTGGTCTCTTGTATGGCAGGCACTGTGCCTTTTTCCACATATATTACCTCATCAATGAATTTTCTCATCAGTCCCATGATATAGTTGGAATTAATACATTCATTTAACAGATCAGGAAGCAGTGGCGTTGAGAAAGAAAATGGGTTGACCAAGTCATACAAATAGTAAAGAGCATAGCCAGAATTGGCTCCCACTCTGAATGACTTTTAACCTCCTCCTTCCCACTGTGGCCAGTGGAGAGATGGTAGTAGCTGTTTAAACACAGTAAAAAATGGAAGTTTTTGTGGCTAAAGATTAACAGCAACCACTCGTGGACTATTGCAGTGTTTCCAAGTCAGTGTTCCCAGAAACATTGTACTGGAAGGTAGTAATGAGGGTATACTAATTGTAAGTATGATTTCAAAAAATTTAAGGAAAATTAGATATGTAAGTGACATGAGAATTCTTAGGGTATTATTTAATAGATGTAGGTTGGAGTCAAATTATGTTGATACGTTGGAAAAAAATGTTAAAAATCTCTTGGGATTGATAGGATTTGGTGTCCTAGAGTAGTTCTGGCCAATTCTGCCTATTTCTTTGTTGGAATCTTTGTAGAGGTGGAGTGATAACACATTTGCAGTAGGTCTTTAACGTCATCAGCAGGTTCTTGGAAACTTTAAAAATGATGCACAGCACATCCTCATGTAATACCATCTTCTTCAACATCGTTTCATTCTAAAATTGAGATAAAAATTGGTTTTGTTGTATATTATTTCACTTAAAGTCTCCATTCCCAAGAATGTGTACAGCTGTAAAGCGAGCAGTTACTGTAATTGATTGCGGAGTGGGGTTGGAAATGATAAGAGTTTGCCAGAGACTTCTTTCTCCTCTCAATTTCTAACATTCTCTATGTTTTCGTCTTCCCCTTTGCAGAGGTTGAACGTGCTGTGTCTGAATTCATCAAATATGAGATCTCCTTCAATGTGTATATGTTCCATGGTGGAACCAACTTTGGTTTCATGAATGGTGCCACAAATTTCGGGAAGCACGCTGGCATTGTCACCAGCTATGGCAAGTGTCTGCCGGTGCAGTAGTCTCTCCAGCATGGGCGGTGCTAGGGCTTTACAGAGGAGGCTCTGGAAGCCTGTTCTGGCGTCACTGGGTTCTTGACCTCTAATCTATGCTGAGTACTGAGGATTTTCCTATCTATTTTCCTTCCTTCTGTATGTTCATAATGCCCCAACAGGCTGTCATTGCAGTAGACAGGGCTTTCTAGGACTTAGAGCTCCGCTTCACGCATCTCGTATAATGCCCTGTTGGCTTGAACCTCTGAAGAGAGGCAGGGTAGGAACGGCGACTGCCGTAAAGGCACAGACCTGCATGGCCGGGCAATACCAGCTGAACAAAGAAAAGAGTATCCATTGCAGGGCTGTCCACTCTTCTGGCTTCCCTGGGCCACATTGGAAGAAGAAGAATTGTCTTAGGCCACACATAAAATACACTAACAGTAATGATAGCTGATGAGCTTAAAAAAGTGCAAAGTGTTTTAAGAAAGTTTATGAATTTGTGTTGGGCTGCATTCAAAGCTGTCCTGGGCCGTCTGTGGCCCATGAGCTGTGGGTTGAACACGTTTGCATTAGAAAGTGAAATCGGGGCACGCCCAGTGTCACGGCAGCCTCGGGGTCCCAGGAAGACTTGTGGGAAGTGTCCTTAGATTGGCCTCACACACTCACGTGGGATGGAGGGTGTCTTCCTTCTGTCTCACTCTCAGTGGCCCTGGCCGTCTCCAGCCGGCGGTGCTGAAACAGGGCCTGCCGCGGAGACTGCGTGGCTGGTGACTGGCCCCGGTGTCTTGCAGACTATGATGCTGTGCTCACAGAGGCTGGAGATTACACAGAAAAATATTTCAAGCTTCAAAAACTCTTGGAATCTGTCTCAGGTACTCAGCACCCATTTAACTTACGGGCCAGCCCTCCCCATGAGGAGTCTCCGTTCTGTGGAAAAGTGAGGAGGGCGCGGGTCCGTTGTGGGCAGCAGTTACGCCGAGCTCCTGAGAACAACGGCAACCTTAACTTCGAACCCTGGGCTTAAAGTCTGTGATTTTGAAATAAGGGTTTCTAAGCATTTTATAAGCCTCAGTTTCTTCACTGAAACATAAAGGTAGTAACCTTGGTCTCCTGTGATGACTGTGAAGACTGAGTTACTCTTTGTAAAGCTCTCAGTACCATGGATGACATAGTAATCCCGAATATGAAAGCAAAGGCCGTGTTGGATAGGCATGGGGGGCTTAGAGAAGGCAGTGGTCATCTCAGGCACTTTTTGCCCTGTGCCCCATCTCCATTGCAGCAACTCCCCTGCCCCAAGTACCCAAACTTACTCCCAAGGCTGTGTATCCCCCCATGAGACCGTCGCTGTACCTCCCGCTGTGGGATGCCCTATCCTACTTAAATGAGGTGAGTGCTGCTTGGCCACAGGAGGTGGAGTGGCCATTGGAGGGATGGGGCAGGGATTCCTTCAGGAAACTTTTATTAGGAAGTGGGAAAACAAATCCTCTGCATTTCATTCAAATTTAGAACTGTGGGACAAGAGCCACCACCTCCTTCTGGGTGGACTGTGAAGGGGTTTGTCCTTGGAGTCAGTGTGCAGGGGAGGGGCAGCAGGATGTTAGAGGATCCTGGGTTCCTGCTCAGATGAACCTGTCTGGGGATGCTCTTGTTTAGACTGCGTGGTCCTTATGAAATCCACATAGGAAAAGCTGCTGAGCTGGGATTGGGAGAACAGCTTCTGCCCCCGCTTTGCCAGCAGCTGGGCCTGAACTTCCTCGGTCACTGCTCCTCCTTTTCCATCAGCCTTCCTGTCTTATTTTGAAGAAAGGTGAAAGCTGCTTGGAACTAAAACTGTAACCCTTGAATTCACATTGGTTTTACCTCTGCTATCACTAATTTGGAGAAAAGGTAGTGACTGGTACACTAAAGAAACTACATTTATTTAATGTAACTAAATTTAATTTAGTGAAATAAACATTTGCTTGGTGCATAATTCATTGCTAGACTTCAATATTTTAGAATACAATTTATTTACTCTTTTTTTCTTTTTCTTGAGACAGGGTCTTGCTCTATGGCTCTGGCTGGAGTGCAGTGGCACAATCATGGCTCACTGCAGCCTTGAACTCCTGGGCTTAAGCAATCCTCCTGCCTCAGCTTCTTGAGTAGCTGGGATTACAGGAGGGCACCAACACGCCCAGTTAAGTTTTTAAATTTTTTGTAGATACAGGGTCTCACTATGTTGGCCAGGCTGGTCTTAAACTCCTGGCCTCAAGTGATCTACCTGCCTTGGCCTCCCAAAGTGCTGGGATTACAGGCACGAGCCCCTTTGCCCCATCTATTTCCTCTGTTAGTCAGTTCTTAGGATGATAGCGATTGCTCCTGCATCACTGTGCCCTGCAGTTCCCGGAGTTTCCTGGGCAGGGAGATGTCAGCACAGAGCAGTATCACATGCCATCTGTTTTATCATTTCCCATTCAGAGAACCCTTGGGGACCATTAGGTGGGACCACACCAAGTGACAGGGTCTTAGAAAGGAGGATCCTGACTTCTCAGCCCTCGGGCTTCTGTTCCTGCCATTTCTCCTCATAGCCAGTCAGGTCCCATCAGCCCGTCAACATGGAGAACCTTCCCATAAACAATGGGAGTGGCCAGTCCTACGGCTTTGTCCTGTATGAGAAGTCCATCTGCTCCGGAGGCCGCCTCTGTGCCCACGCTCATGACATGGCACAGGTAGGGCCAACAGGCTCCCTGTGTGGGAAGCAAAATGCATCACCTCCCCATGCTGTTGGGCAGGGTAGTTGGTTGAGGTGCACGTTGCTGTTTGATGACCTACTATATGGGAGGCACTGGGACTAAAAAGTCAGGCCAAATAGACTTGCTTTCTGCTTTATCACCACCGAGAGTCTCTTGGGGCCTCCACGCAGCTTCATGCCATCTGTGAACACCACAGCTGGTCCCTGCCTTCATACTGACCTCCTTCTGCCAAAACCACGGCCTCTGCTTTCCCTTTCTTCAGGGGGGCCTAGCAGTCTGATGCCGGCTCTTCTTTTGCAGGTGTTTCTGGATGAGACAATGATAGGGATTCTGAATGAGAATAATCAGGACCTGCACATTCCTGAACTCAGGGTATGTAATTTGAGAGCCCAGGTGATGCCCTTGACCGCCCTCAAATGCAGACGGAGCCTGGTCCTGAGATAGTCAGCCTCCCTTCTCCACCCCTGCTGTTGGTACTGCTCCTCACCTGGGGCTGCGGCAGGAAGTGTGCAGGTCTGGAAGCCTAAGTGCCCCCCAGGCCCTGGTCCCTCAGGAGCTACCGCGTGCTGGAAGGGAGGGGGTTTCCTCACTAAGCCCTGAGCCTGTCCTCAGCCCCTGGTTGGGTTTCTGAGCTTTTAGGGTTGGTTAGAGGCACAGCTGAGTCTCTGCCTTTCCCAGTAGGGTCAGCAGAGGGAAAGGGAAGATTGACTGTGGGAACACAGGCAGTCCTTAGGTGACAGGGAAGACTGCTGGGCTCTGGAGCCTCCTTTTCTCCCATGTGTCTCTCCATGTGGAACTCAGCAAAAAAATGGGTTGTCGGGTAGACGCCCTTCATGGCGCGTAGTCTCCGTGACCTGGCCTGTCTCAGCAGGACTGCCGATACCTGAGGATCCTGGTGGAGAATCAAGGACGAGTCAATTTTTCATGGCAAATACAGAATGAGCAGAAAGGTGGGCTCTGGCTGTGGCTTCTCCTCAGTTACTGAAAACCGAAGACCCGGGCTACGCACTGGGGTTGGGGGGGAAAACCAGCCCCTCAGTAGTGGGCTACCCAGGTCCTGGGAGCGGAGATGCAAAATCCGCCCCTCGCCCTTGTCTTGCCTTCTCTGATCTCTGGGGCCAGAGGGTGGAGCCAGTGCGTTCGGTGCTGGCTTGTCCGGGAGCAGGGCCAGTTTCCTTTTGGGAATTTCAGGAGAAGTTCAGTACTAAGTGGGGGAACTTTCTCGGTAATGTGGAAACGTGTAGGTAAAACCTTCAGTCAAAGCAGGTCAGACAAACGTTTGCCCTCCTGGCTGAGCCCCTGTCCTAAGGCACATACATGTCTGCATTGCTTTGTCCCAGATGCTAGTCCAGTCCCGGCTCATATTCTCTTTCTTGTCTCCCATCTGCATCTGCAGGAATAACTGGATCTGTCAGCATCAATAACTCTTCCCTGGAGGGCTTTACCATCTATTCCCTGGAGATGAAAATGAGCTTCTTTGAGAGGTATGCTCCAGCTGGCGCCCCGTGCACACTTCAGTGATCAGGGAACTCAGAGATTTCGGATTCCTCACTGCAGATGAAGATTCCGAGATACAGAGACTGAGTGATCTACTCCAGGCTGTCGGGCACTGCGGCATCAGAACTAGGGCCCTGGAGCAAGTGTCCTGATTCCGATCTTAACGTGTCTAGCGTGTCTAGTCTATGCTAGCTCATTGAAACAGAATATTTGGCTCGGCCCAAGCCACCTGGGGTGGGTACTGGGAACTGGGTTGGGAAGGGGCTTCCTCTCCCCCATGACTTGACCTTCCTTCCAGGCTCCGCTCTGCCACCTGGAAGCCTGTCCCAGATAGCCACCAGGGCCCGGCCTTCTACCGTGGGACCTTGAAGGCTGGCCCTTCTCCCAAGGACACCTTCCTGAGCCTGCTGGTAGGTGACGCCCTCTGCTGCCCTGGTGTTCCAAACACCGATTTTATTTTTAAAGGGTTCTGGAGCAAAGCCAGTGTTCCTGGAGGAATACTTCCCTTTCTTTTCCTCCTCTTCCTCATCTCCAACCGAGCATTCCAACGTTGATCAGTCTTCCTAATTTATCACTATTTAGAGAATAACACATCAAAACACAATTAAAAATTCAAACAAATAGCAAGGGGGAGAGAGCAGAGCATGACGTTCCCCTCTGCACCCACCCCCATTCCAGTTAGTCTCTGCTTCTCAGAACTCAACACTGCCCACAGTGGTATATTTTTGTATATAACTTTGCCTGAACACACACATACACAATTGTTCTTACACGAATAGAATTGTACCATGTATTCTGCAACTTCGTTTTTCTGTGTGGGGTGAGTTGGTAGGTTAGTTTTTACCTAGAATATCTTTTTCTGTATAAATACACATAGATAACGTAACCGTACAAAATGTGAATGTACAGATCAACAAATGATCACAAAGTGAACACCATATAATTATCATTGAAATTTAAAAATATTGTTAGTGGCCGGGCGCGGTGGCTCAAGCCTGTAATCCCAGCACTTTGGGAGGCCGAGACGGGCGGATCACGAGGTCAGGAGATCGAGACCATCCTGGCTAACATGGTGAAACCCCGTCTCTACTAAAAAAAATACAAAAAACTAGCCGGGCGAGGTGGCGGGCGCCTGTAGTCCCAGCTACTCGGGAGGCTGAGGCAGGAGAAGGGGCGCAAACCCATGAGGCGGAGCTTGCAGTGAGCTGAGATCCGGCCACTGCACTCCAGCCTGGGCGACAGAGCGAGACTCCGTCTCAAAAAAAAAAAGAAAAAAAAAAAAATATTGTTAGCACCCCTCCCAACCACTGCCCCCTTCTCTGCAAAGGTCACCACTGCCTTGACTTCCAACACTCTAGGCCAGTGTCTCCTATTTTGACTTTATGTAAATGGAATCATACAGGGCATCTTTTTTAAATATTTTTTTTGTTCAGTGTTGTGAGGTTCAGCCATTTATCGATTGTGCAGTGATTTGTTCCTTTTCACTGTTGTACTGGGTTCCTTTAGTAAATACGTGATAATTTATTTAACCATTTTACTTTCTCTGGACATTTGGATTATATCTGGGGCTTGTCTATGATAAATCGTTAAGACTTACTTTGTGTTTATGTTCATGACTGAGATCTCTCTGTCAGGTTTTGGTGCCAGGTTTAGGGCTCTCCTACAGGATGTAGGAAGGGAATTTGTATAAGACAAGTACCACTTACACATGTAATGGAGTTCATTAGTGAAGCCTTCTAGAGCTGGCATTTTCTTTTTGAGAAAGTTTGTGAGTGTGGATTCAATTATTGAAAGATTAAGGTACTATTCGGATTTTGTTTCTTGTAAAGTTAGCTTTGAGAAAATATATTTTTCTGGAAATTTTCCCATTTCATCGAAATTTTCAAATATGTTGCCTTTAAAATCTTCGTGTTTGATGTCGAGATCATTGGTAGTCACAGGCCCCTTGTCATTGTTACAGGATACCGATGCGCTCTTTTTCTTGATGATTCTCACCAGAACACTATCAGTGTTATTAATCGTTCAAAGTACAGTGTTTGGCTATGACTCTTACTATGTTATGTATTTTTTTTTTGATTCTTTAATTGCTGTCATTATCTTTATTATTTTGTTTATTCAATTTCTTAGTTTAGGATTAATTTGCTTTATTTTTATAATGTCATAGATACTTAGATCATGGATTTTTAGTCTTTTTAATTATATGAATTTAGGTTATTAATCATCATTTAAGCATGGATTTGGTTGCATCTCATAAGTTTTAAAAAGACTTTTTGAGGTAAAATTACATAACATAAAATTAGCTCTGGTAAAGTGAACAATTAAGTAGCATTTTGTGCCTTCACAAGGCCATGCAGCCACTATCTCTAGTTCCAATGCATTTTCATTATTCTAAAGGAAACCCTATAACCATTTGGCAGTTACTTCCCCATTTTCCTCTTCTTCCATCCCCTGGCAACAGCAATCTTTTTTTCTTTTTTTTTTTTTTGAGATGGAGTCTTGCTCTGTGACCCAGGCTGCAGTGCAGTGGCGTGATCTTGGCTCACTGCAAGCTCCGCCTCCTGGGTTCACTCCTGCCTCAGCCTCCCGAGTAGCTGGGACTACAGGCGCCCGCTGCCAGGCCCGACTAATTTTTTGCATTTTTAGTAGAGACGGGGTTTCACCGTGTTAGCCAGGATGGTCTCGATCTCCTGACCTCGTGATCCGCCCGTCTTGGCCTCCCAAAGTGCTGGGATTACAGGCTTGAGCTACTGCACCCGGCCATAGCAATCTTTTTATTATCTTTATGGATTTGCCTATACCGGAAATGACTCCCATACCATTTTTTTTTTTTTTTTTTTTACATAGAATAAGAATAAATTTAGTATGTATTTTTTTCATGACTTAGAAATTATATTCTTCAAAGCAAGAATTCAGAAGGTACATAATTATAAGCCATATTTCATATTAGTGTATTATTAATTTTTATATTATACTTTCCATTATATGGGTAGTGGTTCATATTGAAATACAGAAAAAATAAGTTGTAGTAAGACAAGTGATGTCTATATAGAAAGAGATGAATCATTTTAGTGTCTTATTAGTTGGATAGTTGCTGCTTTAGGGTTGCCGTGTTAGCTTGACATTTTAATCATAAGTACAAATTCTATCTAAAAAATAATGAAGGTTTCGTAAAAACAGCTGATACTAAAGATGAGCACCTCACGTGTCGGTGCTTCTCTGAAGGTATCAAGTTGACCTTGGTGTGGGCATTTTAGAATGTCTTAAAGATGGTTTTGTGAGGAGCTGGCAGGCAAATTAAGCCCAACAAAAGAGAAGGTCTGCAACTTACCCTGCAGCTTAGGGCCAATCTTGAGTCTGCTAGGAATTATAAAATACCTGCTCTTGCTCTTTCACCTCTAAGTTTTAGGTTGGAATTTCACTTTTCCTTCGTATGGCTGTACGGATTGTTGACGGTCGCATGCTTCACAAGGACTTGCACATAATGACAACTTCCGTGTTTTTGGGGACATCGAGAAGCTTCCTTGGGACCAGAACTTTGCTATAGTTAGGGCTGTACTTCTCGTATTAAGGGAAATAGTGTAGACTGATGGTACCATTTGGCAGGTAGTATTCAACCTAAGGCACTGGATGTCCTGCTGGCACTGTCCAGAAAGCTGCAGGCCACTCTGGGGGCCATGTTGTTGCTGGGGAGAAACATGATGATCTTTCCCAATAAATTTATACTTTTTGTGGATTCTTGGTACTGTTTAAGTTCCTTTCTTTTCAAGCTGAAGGACTTCCTTTAGCACTTCTTGTAAAGCAGGTCTAGTGGCGATGAACTCCCTCAGATTTTGTATGTCTGGAAGTCTTTATCTCTTCTTCATTTTTGAAAGACAGTTTTGCTGGATGTAGTATTCTTGATTGCCAGTTGTTTTTCTTTCAGCATTTTAAATATATCGGTTCATTCCATGCTAGCCTGCAAGGTTTCTACTGAAAAATCTGCTGATAGTCTTATACCCTACAAGTTTCTATCTATTTTATTGTCATCATCAGTGAATTCAAATATTTTCCAACTTCCTTTGTCATTACTTGTTAGACTTATGGTTTATTTAGAAGTGATTTTCTTAATTTCCAAGAATTTGGATATTTTATAGTTATCTTTTTGTTATCAATTTCTTGCTTAATTGCATTATAGTCCGAGAAGTTTATGTGAAAACTAGTTTAACACAGGATCAAGCTTGTAAATATTCTGAGGTATACTTGAAAGAATATGTGTATACTGTAGATGTTAGATCAGTGTTCTATTATGTCAATTAGTTCAATTTTGTTAATCATCTTTCATATGTTTTATATCTTTATTGATTATTTGCTTTGCCTACTGACTGTTGAAAGGTTGTATAAAAATTTCCTACTATGGTTGTAAATTTGTTTATTTCTCTTTATTATTCTGTCAATTTTGCTGATATATTTTGTATCTATGCTTTTATCTTCCTTATGTATGTTGTATATACATTTATGGTAAATTAAGAATTTTACCATCATGAAATGTCCCTCTTTATCTCTAATAATGCTTCTTGCCTTAAAGTATTATTTTTCTGAATATTAACAGAGCTATAGCAACTTCTTTTTGGTTAGGGTTTACATATCTTTATCCATTGTTTTTCTTTTATTTTTTCAATACCTTATGTTTTTGATGCTTCTCTTATATGTAGCATATAACTACTTTATTTGAAATCAAGTCCAGAAACCTTTGTCCTTTAATTTGGAGCATTTCAGAGACTCCAATTGTATATGCTAGACCGTTTTGTTATATCCCAGAATAAGCAGGTGCCTCTAGTGGAAAACTGCCTGGATGTCTCCTTGTCTCTCCATTTTCTTCTTCTAGATTTTGGTCCTGTAATTCTTCATTATATTGTAAGCAGATTTTTAAAAATGTGCAGCTTTTATATTAATAGCCACTGTCAGCAGTGGTGTTCATCACTATTACCTGATATTTATTTCTGGAAGTAGGAGATCTGCTTTTTAAAATATATGACATTATATATCACATAACAGGAACAACAGCAGCCCTACCATCAGAGGGTTGGTTCTATTTATGTTTTTCTCTTTCGTTCCTAGAGTGCAAGGTAGAAATTCTATAACATATCCCACTCTAGACTCACCTCCCTTTGAGTGCCATAACGTGTCTCAGTCTTGTTCTCACTCCCCAAGTGCCTTAGGTTTTACCTTGCTAAGGTGAACCTGTTTCCAAATCTCAAGCCACCGTTCCTTTCAGAACTGGAATTATGGATTCGTGTTCATCAATGGGCGGAACCTTGGGCGGTATTGGAACATTGGGCCTCAGCGAACACTGTACCTTCCTGCAGTCTGGCTTCGTCCGGAAGACAACGAGGTACGTCGCCCAGTCTCTACCTTGACATCTCATAAACTTTCAGATCAAAATGTGAGTTGCAGTGTCTTTTCCATCCTGTACTAAATAGGCTTCACCTTTCCCACCGTCAGCCTTTCTTTTCTTCTCAGGTCATCTTGTTTGAGAAGATGCTGAGTGGCTCAGACATCAAATCTACGGACAAGCCCATGCTGTAAAACTGTGTCTGAACATATTTTTTGGGTTGCTGGAGTTCATCTGTAAGTCATTTTTGAGGAATAAGATTTATATTAAGACTATCAAACACGGTGTTGCTTACAGTAGCAAAAATGTGAAAATAACAACAACAACAACAAAAACCAGCAGAAGAATTGTTATGTATTTTGGAGTCTATCTATATGATGCCTATTTTTAGGCTTTAAAAAGTCTTCAGAATCTTTAACGGCTGATTTATCTAGTTAAATGCTTAATCCTTAGCAGGCTCTTATTCTTTAATTAAACATGCCTTAAGTAGATGTGAATAAAATGAAAACAAGTTTCACTTCTGCCTTCCGTACTCAATTGAAGGGAAGGGAAAAGTCTGTAGCCTGGGGAAGAGTAAGGATACTGATTTCCTCATGCCAGAGACAGTATTGCATGTACTAATGGGCAAACTCACGGTCTCCCTCCTCTCTCTCTGTCTGTCTCTCTGCGTGTGTGTGTGTGTGCACATGTGTGTGTGTGCACGTGTGTGTGTGTGGAGTAGGGGAAAGCAGAGGGCAATGAACAATGTCTTTCATTTCCCTTCAACTGTGTGTCTACAAGGTGACCCTGCGTGTCACATCTAATCAGAGAAGGAACAGCAGTTTGGTCGTTTGCTTCAGACACGTGTGACAACAAAGCTTAGCATGGGGTCCTCTGTGTCTCCTTACTCCCTGTCTATCTGGCTATAGTCAATACCTGATAGTGGGTAGGTATTAGTGAGATTAGCCACACATGCGTGAGTATTCTAACCACTCTGAAAAGCCAGTGGTGCCATTTGAAAAAACTGGCACCATTGGGAACCACACACTTTCTTATATACAAAACATAGCACTTGGCCTAAATTCAAACCAATGCATTAAAAACAAATCTTATCACCCTGTTAAATATAGTGCCTAGGGCTTTCAAGTAATTAGTAAGTAATCTTGTGTCCAGAGGGAAGGGAACTCTGTTTGGATTGGAATGAAGACAGAGATGTGATGTCCGATTATCTTCTCTCCCACTAGTCTGAATGACTCTTTCAATGGAGGAAACTTCTGTCAGATACCTCCACAATTCTACATAAAACTCTTTTCTCTGGGGATGTAGCCTCAAACCTATGAACTCTGTGGAAAATGTAGGGTAAAGGAGGAAAGCAGAACTAATAATCCTAATGATCATGAGTACGTATTATATTTCAGTTGTAACATCTACAACATCTAAACTTAACAACAGCCGTGCAACATACCCATTTTACAGGTGGGAAACCAAGGTTCAAAGAGGTGTTTGAAATCATGTCTCTCTGATCGGCACCTCCTCTTTTGCTACTACCTTAGTTCCACACGTATACCAGTCTTTTCCAAATATGAATGCAAAAATGCTATCCAGAAGATATAATGCTTTCAGTGCACTTAGAGAAAAAAAAGCTCACAACTTAGAATTCTTTACCCAGCAAAACTATTTTTCAAGAAAAACAAATAAAATATAGAACTTTCTGACAGAAAAATCAAGAGAGTTATGAAAAGATCCCCACTAAATGATGTTCTGTAGCAGCCTTTCTCAAAGTCCCATAGGAGAATTAAACCCTGCAGAAAGTGTCTTCAGTGATTAGTTTCTCATTGTATCATCTGGATGCGTATTAGAGACGTTAACTCATTACATATTGTGGATGCCTTGGGGCATTACATCTTCACATTCTCAGGGAACCCCAGTTGAGAAGAAATTTCTAAAAGATATGCCACAAGCAGATGGAAAGTCTGACTTTTAAGAAAGAATGTGGAGTCCAAGAAGGATGCTGACATATGTGAGAGTGAATATGAGCAAACGTTAACTCCATACAAATAGCACCAATGTCTAACTTGAGGTAGCATCAGCATAAAACTCTTAAGACCAGGCAAAAACACTGTGTAAAGTGAGAGGCATGTGATCACAAAAAAGTGATCTAAGATTTCTGTAATTCTCAGATACTAACTTTAGACTTTGTTGAATATTCATAGTTAGTAAACTTAGCTTAATGTTTAAAGAATACACATAGAGCTTTTAACTTTCTAAAAAAAGGATAGAGTGAGAACAAACAAACAAACAAAAATCCTCTAACCAATAAAAGACAAAAGATAGTAGAAGATAAAGAAACAGAAAAGTAAGTACAAGTAGAAACACTTATTAAGACAGTAGAATAAATACAGATATATTAGCAACCATAGTAAATTTTATAAATGAGCTAAACTCTAATTAAAAGGTAAAAGTGGTCAGATATTATTTAAAGAAAACTATAAATATTTGAGTTTTACAAGAGATACACCTTTAACATAAAGATGGAATGATTGAAAGTCAGGATAAAAAATATGCAAATTCTAACTGAAGGAACTGTAGTAACTGTACTAACATCAGGCAAATAGACTTAACGACAGAAGGTGTTACTAGGTATAGAGGGTTACTCGTAGTAATGGAAATTAAATTCCTGAGAAAGATATAATGATTTTGACTTGTTTTCTAAAAATGTAGCCCCATAATATGTAAAGCAGACATTTCCAGATCTATATGTAGAAATAGAAAAATAAAAGTACCTTGTACTTGAGAAAAGTTTGTTCTACTTAAAAACTTGAGATATGATTCATATACCATAACATTTTTCAAAATGGATTGTAAACTCTTTTAAAGTCTACAATTCAGTCATTTTTAGTAGGGTATATTCACGAGATTGTACCACCATCATCACCATCGGATCTAGAACGTTTTCATGACTCCAGATAGAAGCCCTTAGCCCGTCAGCAGTTACTCCTGATTCCCCTTTCCGCCCAGCCCCTGGCAACTATGAACTGACTTTCTGTCTCTGGATTTCCCTATTCTGAACGTTTTTTGAAAGTGGAATCAAATATGTGACCCTTCGTGTTCGGCTTCTTTCACGTTTTCAAGCTTCATGGATGCTGTAGCATGTATACTCCGTCCTTTTTCATGGCTGAATGATGTTCCATCATATGGATACACAGCATTTTGTTTATCCATTCATCAGTTGATGACTATTTGAGTTGTTTCCACTTTTTGGATATTATGAATAATGCTACTGTGAATATTCATGCACAAGTTTTTGCGTGGTTGTATGTTTTCCATTCTCTTGGTTATATATACCTGGAAGAGGAATTGCTGGGTCGTATGGTAATTCTGTGTTTAACTTTTTGATAAACCATTAAACTGTTTCCAAAGTGGCTGCACCACTTTACATTCCCACCAACAAGGTATTTGGTTTCTAAGTTCTCCACATCCTCACCAACACTTGTTTTTACAAGCTCTGTTTTTGATTACAGCCATCCTAGTGAGTATGAAATGTTATCTCATTGTGGTTTTGATTTGCATTTCCCTAAAAATTTATCCTCTTAAACATTGAATCCAAACATGTAGCAATGAAGTCATGCAATTGGACTGTAAGATAACAAAAATTGGCCGGGTGCAGTGGCTCATGCCTGTAATCCCAGCACTTTGAAAGGCCAAGGTGGGTGCATCACCTGAGGTCAGGCGTTTGCGACCAGGCTGGCCAACATGGTGAAACCCCGTCTCTACTAAAACACACACACTCTTAGCCTGGCGTGGTGGTGGGTGCATGTAGTTCCCAGCTACTCGGGAGGCTGAAGCAGGAGAATCCCAGCTATTTGGGAGGTGGAGGTTGCACTGAGCCAAGATTGCACCACTGCACTCCAGCCTGGGCGACAAAGTGAGACCCCGTCTAAAAAAAAAAGTAATCTCTTGAATTTTATGTGCACTTCAGCTTTCATTTCCACACAAAGGTGGTAGTGTCTTTCATCAGGTGTCATGGAAGGATAACTTCTCCTCTCTGGCCATATCAGTGGGTTTATTTCTTCAGCACATTCCAGCAAATAAATCATTAGTTGCTTGTAAGGCCTCTGTTGCTGTTATTCTCTGCAAAGTATAATATTAATCCCTTTTTTTCTTTTTTGCTGAAGCTTTTTAAAAAGCATGTATTAGTTGCTATTCAACCTCTTTGAATGTCTTGCATAAAGAGACAAGAGAGTTTCAAAATCTTTTGTATGTCATGTACTTTGTTTTTGAAGAGTCCCTACCTTACACTGTGCTGAAATTTCTTCCTAAATATGAGCTAAAAGTCGTGAATGAAGCAGTTATACATCTATAATTCCTAATCTAAATATGAGCTAAAAGTCGTGAATGAAGCAGTTATACATCTATAATTCCTAATCTAAATATGAGCTAAAAGTCGTGAATGAAGCAGTCATACATCTGTAATTCCTAAGCCGCTTACGGTGTTAGCCATGCTTGTTCTTTCTTCCCCAATGACAATTGTATGGCAACTTTATATCCTAATTTTTCATTTCATAACTATTTCTGGGATTGCTGTGCTATACTCAGAAATGATGATAAAGAATAAAGGAGAAGAATTGTTAAAGTTTTCATTAATCTACCATACCAAACTTTAAGGCAACTTCTATTTGTTTCTGCATGCCCAAACATCTGATATACAAAACATGTATATTTTAATAATATCACTGATTGATTCACAGTAAAATACAATTCAGGAAAACATATTTTAGTAGCATATTTTGTAGAAGGAGTTTTGTACCTTGAAGTCATAACTTGGGCAGATTTGAACAATTATTTGGCAGCCAAAAAGCTACTGAAGACACCAGGAAATAGCAATTATTCTGAGAAGCTTTTTGTTTAGTCTCTGTAGACTCAAAGCTATAAGAAATTATCTTTTAAAAGTATTATTATAAGTCTGTCTTTTGAAGTTAGATTAGTGAGAACATAATGTGCCCAATTTTTTCCTTTGTACCTTGTCTGTTCTTTGTTCTGTCTGAATTGAAAATGATTTATCATAGATGTAGCTGCACATAATTTTGGAGATTTGCCTTCTCATGAAATTCTCAGGTGGCAAGAATCCCAAAAGAAGACTTTTTCTTCAAAGATTCATGGCCTGAATGATATTAAATAATAAAAATAAATTTGGTATAAACCACATTTTTATAAA